GCAGTATAATAATTAAAAAATGCAGCTTTTTAAAACAGTTAAATTAGTGCATAGATAAATATAAGTAGTAAAGTAGCAGAAAGCAAGTAATAAAGCAATAATTTAAATATACTATAAACAATAGCTTGTATAGGCGAAGAAAAAGAGCAAAAATAAAAAAAAAAAATAAAAAAGTAATTAAAAGTTAAAGCTAATATTGCAAAAAAAGTTATTATTATTATTAGCATTGCTATTATTGCCTAAAAGCTTAATATTAGTTAGTTACTTAGTAATAAGCTAATATTATACTAGATATTTAGATATGTGCTTAGAAACTGTTAAAAAAGCTGCGCTTTAATAAAAAATTATATTAAAAATTAAAAATTTATTGCTTGGCAATTTTACAAATAAAAGTACACAATACACAGTAAAATATTAATAATATAAGCTATTAATAACACATTAGGTCCCGTCTTTGCAGGACTATTTTTTTTATATAAATAATATAATCTATACTTTAAAGACTACTTTAATACTTATAGTATAAAAACTATTTATAATCCTAGTAATAAATAATATAAATAAAATGCTAAACTTTAATAAAAATAGCCTAACCCTAGCAGTACTTACTAAAAATAACTGCTACTACTAAAATTAGCTAAAATTCTACTTATTTTTATTTTAATAATAAGCTTTTTTATAAAAAAGTATTATATACTAAAGCCTAAGCCTTAAAAGTATATATAATTTTATTACTAATTAAAGTATTTAAGTTTTTTTTTTTTTTTTTAAGCTATTATATTTATAGAAAAAAGCAATAAGCAAAGTATTTTTAACTTTTATTTTTTTTTTTTAGTAATTAGTTTTTGCTTTTTTTTGCTAAATACTTTTTACTAAAATACTATACTATATTATATTCTAGTAAACTATAAAGTATATTACTTTATTTTTAGCAATAAATATATATATATATATTTAGTAAGCTAAATATACTAAATATTTTTTTTATTACTACTTATTTTATTTACTTAATACTTTTATTATGCTATTACATAATTATTAATTTTATTAGGCATTTAGTAAAATAAAAAAAAATTATTAAGTTTTAAGTAAATACGCTTTATACTTTTTTTATTTTAACTTTTAATAAGGCGAATATATAAATAACTTTTTATTTTTATTTTTATTTTTTTAATACTAAATACTATTGCAATAATTTATTTTAATTGCCTAAAAATACAATTAGTATATTAAAATATATAGTTACAGTTTATAAGCGCTACTGCAGCTAATAAGCCTAATAAAGCAATTAATAAAATTACTAATAAGACTAATTTATTAAAGCAGTATAATAGTAATGCATATAATTTAAAAAAATTAATAAATTTTAGTTACAAATTTAATTTTACACTTTTTTATAAAAAATATAAAAACTATTTATAATAAGTTTTTAAATAGTAGCAAAATTAAATTACTACAAGTAACTTTAAAAAAGCAATAAAAAAAATAAAAAATAAACTATTTATATTTTAGAATAAAAGTATTGCTTTTTTTTAATAAAATTTAAAAATTTTTAAAAAACTTAGCAAAAAGCATAACTAAAAAAATACAATAATAAAGTTTATAAAAATAAGTAAAAACTAATAATAAAATTTATAATTAATTTTAGTACTTTTTAATTAAAAGCGCTTTTAGAAGTTTTAAAATATATTAAGTACTATTACTGCCTTTGCCGCAAAAGCGCTTAAATATACTAATATACTAAAAAATTTAAATATATAGCAGTACTTCCTGCAAATAAATAAAATAATTAAATATTACTTTATTAATTACTAGCAAAAGTTAGACTTTATATATACTAAAGCAGAATTTAAAATAAAGTTAACTAAATATAACTTTTACAATTTTAATAAGTAGGATTTTAATTAAAAGCTTTACTTATTAATAAAATATTTCCTGTAAAAATATAATTAATAAATAAAAAAAAAAAAACTACTTAATACAAAAGCCTACTTTAAAAATAATATTTATATTTTAAATATATAAAAAATTATATAAGCTACTGCAAATTCTACATTTTCTTTAAAAGTAAATAGTAAAAAATTTTATATATACTGCATAATTATTTTACTTAAAGAGCAAAGCTACTAGATTATATAACTAAATTAAAAATTAAAAAATTTAAACTTTTTTATTTTAAAAGAAAATTAAAAGTACTACTAAATAATTAATTTACTTATTATTTATATTTAAATATTTTTATAATACAACTAAAACTAGCAAACTAAAATTATAAATAATACTATAAAGTACAAAAATATTGCAAAAGCCTACTTATTTAATAATAAAAAAAAATTTTATATAATTAAATATAATTTTAATGCTACAAAGCTAAAGCAAAAGTTTAAAATTTTAATTAATAACTTATACTAAATACTGCCTAAAGTAGAATTCCTAAATAATTTTAATTTTATACTAAATAAAAATTTTATATAAATTTGCAGTTTAGTTTACTTATAAAATATAAATATAAATTTTTAAATATATAATTTTAATAAATTAGCAAACTATTTTGCCTACTAGACTATATAATATACTACTAAAAAAATAATAGTTAATAAAAAAAGAATAAAAGTACAAAAAAAAAGTAAAAATATAAAAAAAAAAGTAAAATTAAAATAAATTTTATACTACTAAATAAATAGCGCATTGCTTAAATTAATAAAAAGCATACTATTAATATTTTTAAAATAGTCTAGCTTATTGCAAATAAGCACAATATTAAAAATATAAAAAATAATTAAGCTAAGTATACTACTATACATATAAAAATTAATAAAATTCTTAAAAAATAATTTTTTAGCTTTTTTTATTATATTAAAAAAAAAATTAAATAAAAGCTACTAAAGTTCTAAAAAATATAAAAATTAAAAAAAAAAAAAAAAATAAAAAATTTTAAAATATAAATAATACTTAAAACTGCAAGCGCAAAACTATAGGCAATAATAAGTATATTAAAATTTTTAAAAAAAATTAAAAATTTTTATAATAATAATAGTAAAAGCAAAAATATTGCTTTTAATTTAAATAAAATATCTAAGCCTTAGCTTAAACTAAAAATATTTAAGTATATTAAAATTTTTAAACTTTTTGCTAAATATTAAAAAATAATTATTTTAGTAAAAAAAAAAATACTAGTTACAAAGCTCTAAATTTTAAAAAAAAAAATAATAAATAAAAAAAAAAAGCTAATAGCCTAATATTTTATACTAGATTTTATAGCAGATTTAATAAAAAATTTTATAAAAAACTTTACTGTAGAACTAGCAATTAATCTAATTTTTACTTTAGTAATTGCTGCTTTTACTATAAAAATTTTAAACTAAAAGTTTTCTATAGCTAAATAAATTAAAATAATTATATAAGTATTTTTTTTAGCAAGTAAAAATAAGCAGCAAAAAAACTATAATAAAATAAATAAAAAAACTAATACTATAAGCAAAATTAAAAAAACTTAACTAAATAATATACTACTAAATAAAAATACTATTTTTATAAAAGCTTTAAAGAAACTTAGTAAATAAATTAATTTAAAAAATAAAATATTGCTTAAATAAAATTTACTAAATTTTTAATTAACTTAGCAGCTTTTTATTGCATCCTAAATTAATATAATAATATAAGCAAGTTAAAATACTTTTTTATAAAATACTTTATTTATTTATTTTTTTTAGTATAATTTTGCAAATTTTTTATACTATACTTATAAATTTTTATTTTAGTTTTTTTTTTATATATAAATTATAATAAAAAACTGCTTCTTTGCCTGCTTACTAAAATAGTACTTATATAAATATAAGTTTTTTTTTTTTATAATATATAAAAGCTTGCTTTTTTTGCATATAAAATTTTTTTTCTAAAAAATAGTTAGTAATAGCCTAATTTTATAAGCACTAATAAATACTTAATAAAACTTTTAATTATATAAAAGCTTATTTTATTACTATATAATATATAGCTTATAATTTTATACTTAATAGTATATTTACGCTATTACTTTTAAAAGCTAAAAAAGTATTAGCTATAATTATTAAAATTTTTTTTAATAAAAGTAAGCTTTATATAAATAAAAAAAAAAAATTTTTTTCTACTTTTAAAGTAATAAAATATAATAGTTTTTTTTTTTTAGTAATTTTTTTTTTTAGTAGCCTTTTTTCTTTAAAGTTTTTTTTTTAAATTTTTTTTTATTATAGTATAATAATAGATACTAAGTTATTCACCCTTGCTTATAAAATTATTTAAAAAAATAAAAATTTTAATACTAAATTTAATAATATCAGCTACTAATTTACAAAAGTGCAGCTATTATATAAATATTAAAAAAAAAAAATTTATACTAGGATAAAGTATATTATTTACTTAGTAGTAAGTTTAGCTTAATAAAACTTATAAATATAGATTATTACTCTTATACTATAACAAATAAGGTACTAGACGATGTTTCGATTGGTCCAGCGCTATATTGAGATAAATATAGTTAGCTTGGACTTAAGAGATTTCATGGGATAGGCTTATTTTAATAACCTGCAGTATGGATTGGTAGTCCTTCTTTATTTTCTGGATACCCCAAAAGATGAGAATTCAGGAGAGGAGGCGCTTAGTTTTACCAAAATGGCACAAAGCAAAGTACCTTTGGAAGGAAGGGTCAGATAGGTATAAGTTTGCAACTGTGGTTTTAATTCTTGCTAAACTTCCGCATTAGTTATGAACTCTGGTAAAAATGTCCAGTGTAATACTTGCTTCCTCTCACTGTGTGTCTTTGTGTTAGGTTCTTCAAATTCCGAGATATTCGCAACTATGGATCAAATTTACACTATGCTCAATCGGGATAGCATGTCGACAAATTGGACTTGAAGAACATCTATTTAACCCGCAACATACCAGGTTGAATATTGAATATATGTTCATCAATAAGAGGAGAGAGCACTTCTCCCACATCTCCCAGCAATAAATCGTGCGATATGGATTCCCGGCAACTCGATAAGCAGCCCCAACAAAAGCGCCAACGTGGCCGACCGCGCAAGAACCCCTTAACTTCACCATTAAGACCCGAGAATGGTCAGAGATCAACAAATACGCCGTCATCAGCACCAGAACATGGCTTCTCTACCAGTATAGAGCTGAAACGCAAACGAGGACGCTCACGTAAGAGTGGCGACTCTCCACCTCCAAAAGCGGGAGAAACTTTTACCAAACCTACCACACCAGCTTCAACATCAAACAAAGAAGGCTCCAAAGAACGTCCAATTCGAACCTTCCACAATGTGCCCAAGGGCTCATTCAGTGGGCTCAGGAGCTCGGACCGGACAAGCTTTACGTTGCGGGAGATTAAGAAAATTCAGGGCGATCCGGAGGAGCCTGTTTATCTTACGGACGACGATGAAGAATTTGATGACACTACTGATGTTGAGGAAGGCGGCTTTGATGAAGCTATGAAACGCAGCAAAAGGGTTGCTGATGCCAAAACCGCACGAAAAGAGGCTTCAGAGGAGTTATATAAGTCTCTATAGCGAACAGAACGGAACAGGGAGTACCATGTGCGGGCTGAAAGGAAGCAAATGACAGAGGCTTTGTGCTTGCAACTGCGGTGTGAATATAGCCCACGCGACTCTTCTGGCACGAGATTCAGCTTTACCTTCAAGCAAGCAAGTCAATCCGACTACACATATAAATGTACTTATACTCTCCGTTCAAGTTCCTCCACCGCGGCCCTAGGTCTCGATATCGCTTATACCTCCATTTACTCCCACTTCGCGCTGGCCCCTCCGCTAGTGTTACTCCAAGGACAACGGCAGCAGAAGGTATATTGACCTTGACCCCACCCTACCCTTCATAATTACAACCGTTCTTTTCTTCCGATTAGATTACCTCCCTGGCTTATGATACGATCCTGACGTCGTGAATTATAGCTATCATGGCAAAGTGGACTACTGTCGCTAAAAATACCTCTCCAAGGTCACGAAGTCAACCTCGACGACCAATCGCACCAAAGTCACATCAACAGATATACCTCGTAAGTCCAACAACACTATATTCGGTAAAAACGGGCCATCTGCCCGACTCCGTATGCCTCAACATTAAGACGTGACTGATGCAGAGCAGATAGCTTTCCTTCTCAACTGGCTACGTTCTCATGACATTCTCTATCGGTTCATGCAGAACGGTATGGACACACAGACACTCGCAAATATCGTGAACCATCACTGGAAGCCCACCAAGGGCCACGCTATAATCATAAACACGCTCTGTAAGATCACCCAGAAGACGATGCGTGATTCAGGCTATGAGAGGTGGACAGTGAACAAGCACAAAGCGGGTACATTTTATTAGAGCAGTTTTTTGGGCTTCTCGGTTGGTGATATTTTGAATTCGGAAAGGGAGTGGAAGTGCCGATTTATTTGTCCCATCGTTGGGATTGCACTATACACCAGGAACAACCTCGAGATGACTTCAAGTTCTGACGCCCTGCAATCACCCATGGCTAAATGGTCAGCTACATTTCATAATGCAGATTTCTCTCTCCAGTTTTTGCCGTTTTTGACTTACATACATCGGCACTCAGTGCAAGTTATAATCGACTAACACATGGATACAGGACGAGACCAAATGTGCGGAAGAATACGATTCAGTTCCGACATTGGAAATAGATTAATCGTCTTTCTTTAAGATTTTGAAGTTAGTCAAATCGCTAGTATTACATGAAGTTGAGCATGGTAAACTAGTACTCCCAAACAATTTGCAGAAATCATCGGATTAATTCTCCATGTTTCAAGAGTGTTCCGCCTGGCTATCTGGTCTCTTATACATCCCACACCCCAATCAAATTATACCTGCCAAAACAACAACGCCCATCCCCACCGCAACGTGCAAACCCCCTGCCGCACCCGTCATGTTCATGCCCGTCATCGCCGTGCCGGTCGCCTTGATACCGCTTGTTGATGTCTCTCTTAAGCCACTCGCGCTTGCCATCGGCATGACCGAGCCATCGGACATTGTCATGCCATCAGACATTGTCATGCCATCAGACATTGTCATGCCATCAGACATTGTCATGCCATCAGACATTGTCATGCCACTTGCCATTGACATCGAGGCCACAACAGCCTGCATAGCGGAGTTTAGTTTAGAAGCTTCGGAAGAAAGTGCAGCAGCGTTGGTCGGAGAATTATTCCATGCCATGGTTACAGTGGTGGCGTCGGCAGTCTTGTTGTTCCATGCCATTGTTACTGCAGGTGCGGACGGGGTGGCCACGGGTACCATAGACATTGTTGGCGCTGAGGTGACGGAGGATATCGCCACTGCGAGGGGTGTAAGGGCCATGAGGGCGGTGGTGAAGGTTTTGGGGTGCATTTAGCTGCACGCGAAGTGATACTTAATGTTGATTTGGGTACTTGATCGTTGTATCGTGGGTCGGTTGTTTGGAATGTACGTGTGGCAAGGAGCGTATTACTCGAGTCAGGCTCGAAATACTGTCAGCCTAGGGTATCAATTTGTCGTCAAAGAAGCAAGAAAAAGCGGGAGATTCCTGCAGTTAAGTGCGCTTCTGTCTCTTTCGTGACAAATGCCTCCACGTCTAGACATCGACATCTAAGCCAACTCGGACTCATCTGTTACACCAAGGCCTCGGGAAGCCGCGCTCCTTCATATCGCAATGGCTGTGGATGGCTAAAGTTACATAGATGACGATCACCTTGGTGATGAAACTTGCGGGTTATGTTGGAAGAGTGTTCGAAGATTGTTTGGGATGTTTCGACGGGTGATGGGCAACCGCTAGTGCAGCCAAGGGAAGGCGCAAGGCGGGGACGCTCGTGCCGAACTTTGTATGAACCTCAGGTTTCGCTCACTCTTCTCCTCATCATCACTCACAGCAGCAAATCATCGGAAAATCATCGATTTTCATCTGCGATGCATGTTGAAGAGAAAATCAGCATGATCCTAACCTTCTATAATAGATGAGAACGTCTCTACCACTCGATAGCCCGTAGCTCGAAGCTGGTGCCAACGACGCGCTCATCGAACACTTCACCATGTGCAACAGCATGTTCATCAGCGCAACTATCCCGGAGCAATTATATCTATTAGCATGTTACACGTACGGGTTGATCATCCTAATAGAAAGAGAAGGAATCTGAGATGATCTTGGCTACTCACAAGACCCCGATTGCACCTACCGGCACAAAAGCTTACTTTAGTAACGATCGACTTCGGAGAGGCAGTCTATGGATATTCATAAGACAGAAATATAGTATCGCGTCACAAAGCAACGGCTCCCTGTGTCGTGTATCCGTCTCTCTCACTGTCTTCCTCACGTAGCTGTTCCGTTGTCAGCAGCTCCAGCAGCTCCTCAGAAGCCCAGAGCTGCTCCTTCCGTGTCTTGGCGATGAACTCCATATGCTCGGGACTCTCGTTCCACGTATCGGTGCGGAAGCTGTACCAGAAGCATGCGCACTGCTCATATGCCCATCGCAGGTTCTCTGCCCACCCGCTGCTATCCTGTGGATCAGGCTGGGCAATATGGTGTAGCAATCGGAAAGGTGGCGAGCAGCGCGGGCCGCCAAAAGCATACGGACTGAACGGATCACTCTGTCCTCTAGAGCCTTCTTTGAGGAACGCAAGATTCACCTGCTCGTCTACCGGTTCTGCACCGTCGCTCGGCGACGCGATATACTCTGCTGCGTCGCGAATGTACGGCTGATCTGTGGTCTCCTCCATGTCTCCAGGCTGTGGCGTTGCTCCCTCCTCGATATTACTCTTTCTTGGCCTGCTTTTCGGCCATCCTCTCCTCTTCGGCTGAACAGGAATTGCAGGTGTTGTCTGCCTCGACCGTACTTTCAGTGCCGGTACTTCTTCCCTTGACAGAACGCTCATCACCGGTATGTTCCCTCTCAAGCTATCCATCCTCTTCCTCTTCTTCTCTGGCTCTGGCTCTTCTTGCGAAGTCAAAAGATAATCCGGGGCTCTATAACGAGGCGGTGGTGGCATAACTCCAGCCCACCGCCCAAATGCAGCACGGTCGGAATGCTCTTTCTGCACCGCAGCCGGACCACCGAGCACACCAAGTAGCGCATCATAGTCGCGCGGGTACATCCACGGATTACTCGGCTCCTGAATGCAGTATTGCACCATGCGCGTTAGGTCCAGAGCATCGTCGCCCTGTGGCATAATCCTCACATCCACCGCCAGGGCTTTGAACGGTATATCGGGCACCTGGGTACTCTCTCGTTTGCGTTGTCTGGGAATTCGAAAGTTGACATCTAATCTGGATTCCTCCCATGTCGCTTTCCTCCCACTGTGGAATCTATCGTGTGTTTTTATTGTCCAGCCGTTGTATCCTGCTTTTTTCATCGATTTATACATCCAGGCTCCGCAACAGTTCTGACTGAGTTCCACCGGAAGGTCGCGTTGTGTGTTCACGATAGCCCAAAGGGCCTGGCGGGTTCCGCCGTTGGATATCAAGCGGTATATGACGTCGGCACATCGAATGCTGTTAGGTAAGAATGTAACGAGCTCGACGAGAGTTAAATGCGCATTGGTAGGGAAGGGAAGGCTTTCCGCAGGTGCTGCTGGACCCAGACCATAGCCACGGTAGGCTTTGCGCACTTCAAGTTGTGTATGATCCAGGATAGGCTCCGGTGTGGGCTCCAGCGTGAGCTCTGCTGGAGTTGTCGCCATGCTGAGGTGGAGTCAGAAAATAGGTCAACACAGTCGGGTTGAAGAAAGCGCATTGAGCATCTGAAAGGCACGGGAGAGAACGTGACTCATTTTGGAAAGTACATGAGGTGAATGATTCGTGGTGGTAAAGAGAAGCTTCACGTGCTAGCTAGTGGGTTCCTCCGCGCCGTTTGGGTCGTTACAACAACAACAATAAAACCGCCGCAACGCCCGGTCCGAGCGCGTCTACTCCAATTCAGGCTTGATTTTTTCTCACATCATTTTTGGGCTCCTGTCGGATTCTCATTTGTCGCACGCGGAACGTTTTGGGGTTTCGCATCGTATCTTGGGGTTGTCTGTCAGGACTCTACGAGACCTTCCGCAGTGTCTAGCTGTAGTATACGCATTTTTCGTCATCTCCTGTGAGTTCCCTCTCCTCGCGCGTCTCAATCAGTTAGACCAGGCCTTCGCAAAACGTCGTTCGATATGTTAACGTTCTAAGTCATCCCGATGGCATCTTTGCCCAAGAACAATGCCTTCGGTGCCGGCAGCCCGAGCTGGAACCTTCCCTTCCCCGATGGCAACATGACAGCCGCTGAGATTCTAGCCTACCTTCCGCATTGGCTCAAGTCGATAGATGTCATTGATCGCCTCGTCGCGAACGGCGGCAGGTCTGCCATCATTGCCGCAATGATCAATGAGTTCAGGCACCAGCCAACCGGCGAGATCTTTCAGGCCAACTCAGTGCAGATTATGATGTCTTATGCGATGCGCCGCGCTGGCTATACAGACTGGACTGTTGGTACGCATGAGCTGTGGAAACGTGAGAGTGATTCAGACGAGGAGAATCTCAGCGTGAAGGACTTCCGCCCGCCTCGCCTCACTCACCCAAAGACTGTCGCCAAACGCAATCGACAAGACCTCGCACGCAATTACGAAGCAGAACCGATTGAATTCAAAGACCTAGCCCTTCACGTGAAGAAGCATCCTGCAGACGCTGATGCCCTTGACCTCACCCGCTGCATACAATACGCGCTTACCCACCAACACGAGAAGTGGCTCTTTCCCACCGACTTCAAGCGCCTCGTCATTCACCTAGGAGGTCCGGCTCAAATCGATCACCTTCACCACGATAGACAAGTATTTGCTCGCCGCGAAAACCTCGTCACTCCGGCTAAACCAACACCTCGGAAGTTCAACCGCACAATGAAAGCCGAAGTTACACCTCGACGCCGAAACAAGCCCCCGACTCATATTGAGAAAGCATTGTCTCTGTCTCAGTCAGGTACAACAGGGAGTATGACACCTCGGAAACGAGGCAGTGAGGATTTGGGTAGGATCCTTTTGGGTAGTCAGAGGAGGAGTGGAAGGCTTGCTGGGAAAGCTATCAATTTGTGCGAAGAAGACTCAGATGCTACGGTAAGCGCTTTGTTAGCTTCATTAGTTTAGACTGATTGAGTACTAATGATAGACTATACAGGACAATGATGTCTTTGACTCTGCTTACTCTGGCTACTCTACGCCCGCTAAGAAGCGTAAAATCTCCCTCACCCCGCCCACGCCCATCTCGCCCTCCAACGACAGCGAGTTTGTGCAAGATGACTCCGAACCCGACGACGATATTGCGGAAGCAGAAGACGCAAGCGAGGAAGACGCTCTCTCGCTTTCCTCTGGCCCGCGGGGTCGTGCTGCAGCGAGAAAGGCACGGCAGAACATCCAGTCTTCATTCACGAGCAATCGTACTCCTCTGATCCTAAAAGTATCGAAGCTCGCACCGTCACCGGAAAAGAAGTTAAGGACGCCCCCGCCACAGAAGCCCGTTCCCACGTACATCCATACGGTCGTCAGCCCAGAGGTGATGGAAGCAGTCAAGCAGTTCGCTCATCGCACGCCCGTACTGCTCCAGCCGCCCGTACTTTCCGCAAACCGTCTGCGCGTCGATGCTGCAAGCATCTATCTCTATGCCTCCGAAGGCTGTAGCAACCCCAAAGAAATGTGGGAGTCTGCACTGTCGTGTACACGATTCGGTGGACCCCGTCGCCACGCACCCTTCCGTGAGTTACACCGCTTGACGGACCCGGATATGATGGATGGAAGTGATTGGGCCGAAAACATTCGCTGGGCAAAGGAGCAAAATTTGGCCTTTGGAAGCAAGACTTGGACGGAGTACGACTACCATCTTGAGATGATTACGCAGGCTAGGCGGGAGACGATGTGGGTAAGCGAGGAGCTCATTAGGATGGGGATGTAGAAGAGAGTTTTCTGCATGTACCGGTGGATTAGCCACTACATTCGGGGTACAATTGGCAGTACACAGCTGATCTAATCTTGGCAGCGTTGGGCATAGTCAGCAAATGTGCTGCGATGGCCATGACGGACAAGTACTTGCATATCGCGTATATGTATGCATACAATAGGACTAGACGTAGTCCTGTATACTTTCAAGTATTCGAAGCACAGAGGTTAGGCTCTACCTTAAGCAGGGGTTTGAATCTAGCTTACGATTGATTGGCTCCTCTCTACGTGTCAGCAAGGTGACGTCGACTCACAACTTGGCAAGTCAAGGGAACTCGCAAGTTCCCGCATTTCGAGTGACAATCTTAACGTCAGGGAGTCTGGGTAACTGAATGTCTTTTCTTGACCCTTTTTTCTTGCGGTAGCGTAACCTTAACGCTGTTAACCTATAATATTCTCAGAATCAAAACTCTGGCTCCACTGACACCTTTCCGATACGGGCCCGACTCTTTCTCTACAACTTCAACTTTACCCTCCTTTGCCAAACGCTCAACTGTAGCTTCAAATCCCTTCTCTACCCAATGGGTGTCTAGCACCGTGGCCACTGCCACACCACCAGGTTTGACAACTCTGACAAACTCTACTAGCGGCTCAGGCCCAAGGTGAGCTTGCGTGAAGGTCCCACTACAAGTCAACGCGTCAAATGCACCGTCGGCAGCGTCAATCCGTTTGGTGAGATCCGTAACCTTCAAATCTCCATACGCGTCCGTTTTCCGCGCAAGACCCAACATACCCTCACTGATATCCAGGCCCACCGTGCCTTTTGCGCCCAACTTTGCAAGTTCAATACCAACTAAGCCGGTACCGCAGCCAGCGTCGACGATGCGGAGGCCCTCTAAGGGCTTATTGGGAGACACATCCTTGAGTTTCAGTGCACGGACAACTCCTTCAGCAACCTGAGTAGGTCAGATGGGTGTTGAGCTCACGTGGAATTGGGAGTAATACCAATCGTGGAGCCACATATTCGCTCAATGTCATGTCTGGGTTGTAGGTCGCCGCCCATTCATTGTACAAAGCGCGAGATTCCGAGGTGTCTTTTGCGGCGAAGACGCGCTCGAGCAGGGTGGGTTTATCCGTCAACGCCATGTTGAAAGTGCTTGTATCAAGATGTAGTTGGGGAGGTTTGGGATGGCTTTTGACTAGTTGTGAAAGTCCAACGGCCTATTTAACATTTGTTCGCTCTCAACTAATCATGATTAAAGCTCCACGTTTCTTTGCGCAGTTTACGCAAGCCGTGTAATGGGTACTTCGAGCCGTTGCCATGCTGATCACTACGTCATACCTTTCGATAACTGACCCCGCGTTGGAGCGGCTCGGCTGGAAGGGGCAGGAGTATACAATATCTGGGGGGGCTGTGCAATTTAGGATGCATATTTTCTGGGTACTGTCGGCTGCTACCCTAGGAACAGCGTCTAGAGTGAGCGCTAGACGAGGCCGGCTCCCGGCACTTCTAAGATCACGTTACCTCAACAGTTATGTTAACCTCGGGTAAGCCTGATTTACAGTCATGGCAGTCGAATTGAATGTCATAAAAGGAATTCTGTTCATGAATGAGGCTTACTACCAGAAAATATACGGTGCAGCATGAAGAATCTATAGACTTATATAGTCACGTGATGACGCGTCAGCGTGATTTCTGTGACATCCACGTCAGAACCAAAACCACGTAGCATGAATCATCAACATTATTGTTATAAACATACTAAGGGACGTCAAATTCTGTGTGTCACTTAGTAAGACGTTATCGAGGTAACCTTTCGCCAAACCCAATTCCATCTGGTTTGATCATGGCTGCGCCAGCCCAGTTACGTGTCGACCGTCCCCACATCCCGGTACAGCCAGATGGTCCTCGTACTGCTCGAGAGATTAAGAATAGAAGCGAGATATCCGTTCATGTTGGTGCAGCGTGTCCTATCTGCATGGAAGATTGGTTTCAAGGCTACTCGCATTAGTCTGATAGATCACCTAACCGAGCGCCTATTCGATTTTCGAGAGCAATTTATCGGTACTATCACATCTCAGAGATTCTCGACCTCTTGCGAGTAACAGATATCGATCCCCAAGAAGCTAGTGTCACTTTTGCGGCTCTCTTTCAACCATTTCTAAACGCAGAAGCCCTGTTCACAGTGTTCACAGGTTTAACAGAATATGTTAATTCACTGCACTTTAATCTTACTCTCACAATGACACAGTCAGCTTAGCTGTGTACTTCGAAGCGTGCGCCGTGTTTAGATCCTATCTGGACGATGCGTATACACTTTCAAGTTGTTTCAGGCAGGTTGATTACTATTCGTGAGCAAGAGACATGAGAGCATGGTACGCTTATCAATTTTCTATCTGCTTTTCATTCCTGAGTATCCATTCTGCAAATCGGTTCACATGGGATTATTATACCCACATCTTTTGCACCTCGTCTTCGCTTCGATCCCTGGTTGCGCCTAATCTCGAAAGGCAATAAACCTTGTCCTCAGTCCCATTCTAAGGCTCCACAATCTCAATACACTGAGCTGTGTGCTCTATTTCCTTCATGTTGGGATAAAATTGCGCTGGAATCCCCTTGATGGGTAAAATGATCTTCTCCAAGCTTGTCAGCTTCACTAGATGCTCGAGTCCCTTAACGCGATATCCCGCAAGCAGGGACTCCCAGGAAAGCGCTAATCTAACAACCTTAATCGCATCTTTCGCATGGTCGGGGAGGATCTTAATCAACTCCCCCAAGGCTGCGGGGTCGATCGCGAAGGTGTTGAGCGTGTATGGTAGAAGTGCGGCCTCAGCATGGACCTGGCGGCAGGTGGCGGTAATGCCAAGCAGCAGGTTGACGTTGTTCGACGGGCGATTATCATTCATTTTGATAGTTTTGCAAGTGTCGAAATAGAGATATATCGTGCGGTTGGGCGGGAGGATGTACCTCTTACGAACTTGGATGCGGCTGGCGGTGAGAGCGAATTCATAGATCCTGTTGCGGATCTCGCCGGGCAAACGGAGGAAGGGCGACTCGACTTGGTTGCGCAAGTAGCTGGATATGAGGTCAGGAATGCGCGAGGGGTGTAAAGGCTAAATCGGACAACTTACATAGCGTCCGCCTGGATCTTCGAAGGGCCTTTCATTGCTGCGCGATTCTTCGGTTGAGGGGTCATATTTGCGTTGATGTTACCAAGGTAGGCAGTATCGCGAGATCAATGTTGGCGAGGGAAATTATGAACGGCTGGTGGTGGGCAGGCTTGGCAGGCTTTACCCCAAGCGGAAACATGTGTGAACGCCCAGTGAAAGACCTCGTTACTGGGTAGAGAAAAGATATTAATAAAGCGATTGGGAAGGAAGCAGGGAGTATAATACTGGGGTGAAAGAGCAAGACAAGACCGTGTGCAGCAAGTCAATCCATTACGTAGTTCCATGTCGGTCCCAATATACAAATCATCAATTGCTAAACTTAAGATGCCTATTTAAACAAGTCTCAAACGTTCTGCTCATTAACAAAGAGCCCCGCCATACCCATTCCTGTTCCAATGCACATGCTCGTCAACAGGACCTTCTTCTTCTGTCGGCGACACTCGCTGAGACCAGTGACAATTTGTCGCGAACCTGTGCAGCCGAGCGGGTGACCGAGCGCAATGGCGCCACCTCTAACGTTCATCTTGGCAGGATCGATCTTGAGTGTCTCTTGGCAGTACACAGCCATTGATGCAAAAGCCTCATTTATCTCAATGATATCGACATCATCGAGTGTGATGTTGAACTTGGTGAGCAGCTTCGGGATCGCGACGGACGGACCGATACCCATGATCCTTGGTGCGAGGCCAGCGACTGTTGCACCGACATACTTGGCGAGGATGGGCTGGCCGAGCTTTTGTGCGGTGGAGCGCTTCATGAGCAGGACGGCGGCGCAGCCGTCAGTGACCTGCGACGAGTTTCCAGCGTGTGATTTATCACCGTGGGGAAGGAAGGCTGGGCGAATCTTCTGCAGGGCTTCGAATGTGGTGCCGGGACGGATACCCTCGTCCTTGGTAAGAGTAACAGTCTTCTCTTCACCAGTCTTGGGGTCTTTGATGGTCGTTGTGATGGGCACGATTTCGTCATCGAACCAGCCTGCCTTTTGCGCGACCTCGGCCCTTCGGTAGGACTCGGCAGCAAACCTATCTTGTCTCTCGCGGCTGATGTTGAAATCGTTTCCGACGTTCTCTGAGGTCTGTCCCATAGGTTGCATACAGTCGTTTCCTTCTTGCACTGAGGTGATTTCGTCGACAAACGGCCTCTCCAGCTTGTCACCACCTGCCGTCATACTTTCCACGCCCATACCAATGCCAATCTCAATGCTGCCTACGGAGATCTGGTTCGCGATATCCTGCACCGCCTTCAATCCCGATGAGCAGAAGCGGTTCACGGAAGACCCAGCGGTGGTGTTGGGAAACCCTGCGCCCAGCATAGCAGCACGGACGTAGTATGCAGCTTTCGAATCGGACACATTGCCGCAGCAAATATCCTCTACAAGAGCGGGATCGAGATTCGACCTTGCGACGACTTGCTTGAGCGTCTTTACGAGGATTCCATCAAGAGGTGTGTCTTTCAAGCCGCCCTTGTGGCCTTTTGTAAGGGGTGTGCGGACCGCGAGGGTTATTACAATGTCGTCGGGATTTTTGGTAGTGCTGTCCGAATCGTTAGTCGTGTCTTCTCTATCGCAGCTCTGTACAGGTTGGTACTCGAGGTGGCGGGAACTTACATTGTCGCCAATCCGCTTGTCGAGGGCGCGATTTGCGACACGATGGACTTGAGGCGTTCTGTCATCTTGGAATTATATTACAGGAAAGAAGTAATACACAGGAAGGTAATTGCGAGGTGTGAGCGATGATGGACAGAAAGATGCGGAGTGCGGAGACGGTAGCTTTAACAATGTTGTGGGGCGCGAAACTCGAACGATGAGCCGAGGATCTCGGAGCCTAGGTCACGTTGCTCGGCAGTTCACCTATTGGCCGGCCATCGGGCGTCCTACCTGCTTCGAATTGCCCACGACACATGTCTCATTGCAAATACTAATAATCGGGATGTCGTTGAGATGCATCAGTAGTTTTGTGCGCAGCAATGCCTCGGATGCAGTTGGTGAGCTGACGGCTCCTCTACTCTCGGAGATTTTGGATCTAGTCGCTGTTCCCCGCAATCCGAACGTCAACATAACCTCAACTATGGCTCTCAATCCATCTTTATTGAATAATGGTGAAGAATATCTTTTGAAGATGTAACGCGCAACTTCTGGTGCCACGCGTATGAAGATTTGCGAGATTTGCGCTAAGTTCTAGACAGCAATTATAAGCTCTTCAGCTGACTTATATGTGCTTCATTCACAGATCTCTCCTGCGACGCCACAGAATAGGAAAGCTGTGCTTCCATATTTATCTTCGCACTCTTGTGCTCTTACAGCGTAAGCCAGCGTAATCCAGCGTAGGCTGAAATGGCTTGTTAGCAATGACATCCGGATGACTACCGTGCACCATCTGCTTCATCATCGGCCCAGGGTTGTGTTGTCTCATGTTCACACCTGTTGTGTTATCTTGTAGAAGGTAAGTCTTAGTCTCCCCGAATACGCCTCTTCATGTTAGTTGGGATCAGCTGTTTCCAAGGTTACACGCTGGACCCTGCTGGTACGAGCTTTGCGCCATCACGGACCAACGAGGCGACGAATCTTTCATTTTCTACACGAGACCTTTGTCGCCTTTGATCACAGAACGCATCATGAATTCGTAGTCAAGTCTGTAATGACTTAAGTGACTGGGGTGTTGCTCTACGAGATGACCTTTGATGAAACGATGTGTAGGTATGTTGATGAAAGGAGCCCGCACCGACCCCTTACTAACCAATCACTAAAACTAGCCTGCGACGCGACGAGTTCAACTATACCGAGAAAAGGCAATTCTATCGCGTGACCAGTGAACAGGTTGTTACACAGTACTTGCCAAGATCGACTAGAGGCCCTTATGTCTTTCAAGCCCAAATTGGATATTGCTGGTCCTATGTGACTAGAGAAGCTATCGAACAGCATTTGAAGTCAATTGACCGATATGCCACTCCATTCATCTCCGTCTTTGATAATTTCGGTGCGTACCAAACCATATCTGGACAATGACATGCCATCAAAAGCTGACGGAAATGAAAGCTGATGCGTTGAAGCGAGCCTACCACTTCTACCTCAGAGGCGACGAAAGAATTTCGATAGTCCAGATCGACGCTACGGAATTGGTTAAATCAAACGGGATTCAACAAAACATCGACGCGCTTGTGCCGACATGGAGAGGTATCGGAAATGGAATCGACGAATGGCTCTCAGTGGCTGAAATAGCACCAGCCTTGGGTATCCACCCCCAACTCGTCCAGAGATCAGAGTGGCTTGCATGTGGACAAATATCAAATAGCAGATTCACTGCAGCCTGGCCGATCATACAAGGCAAACTATTCTTCGAACAGGAAAACGGCCAAGACTTAGTGGACCTCTTCACCTATTACTGCGGGCGCATGCCTGACTACATCCGACAGCAGAGCGAATCTGGTCGATACGCATATGATTGGGATAACGAGGTTTTTTTCGAGACTGAATGGTCGAAGAGTGAGAGAAGATCGTCGTCAACCCAAAATGGGTTCTCAGGTGCGGGCGTTGGACTTGGCGTTGCATCCCAATTGCCTCGCTTTACGATGTTCGGTCACGCTGGTTTTCTACGCGGCATGGTTGTGATGGATTGATGTATGATATGGTATGTAAAGTTATTTGTAAATTGAGTGATGAACAGCTCCTCTAGTCATGCTCCTCAGGCGACTGTTGGTATCGAGGAATCACGGCAGCTTATGTGGATGTTGTATTTGTGAAAAAGCATCAGGATAAGGAGAGGGAGAAAGACTAGAGCCGCAAGTGTAACGCACAGGACCCCGCCGTCGGCCATAGTAGGGCGCCATCATGACTCCCAAGGTCTCAGCTTCCCCTTCGCCCTTCGCCCAGTCCTCTTCTCTCTATGAATCTTCTCTCTTGCAGGTACCCAGAGCCTATCTAAACTAAGGCAGTTTTTTTCATGTGCCGATAACCTTCCGCGGAGCATGTGGCTGAGGCACTGTTGTGTACAGTGTACCACCACAAGCCACCAATTGCGATATATGGCCCCCTACTTGAATCTCGTATATACAGAATGACAACGGCGATGTTCCAGTGAATTGGACAGACCAAGGGTTGGAAAACCACTTTGGGCCACGGAAGTCCTGCCTTGACAAAGGCAGGCGATGATCTGCACACGAGCTAGCGAAACACGACGAGGAAGACAAAGAGGTTGCCAAAGAAGCATCTATCTACCCTTGGCCACTTATAATCAAACTATAACATCACCCATCTCCCCTTGTTACCTGTTACCACCCATCAACCCTTGACTCACGCCTTCACGATGCAACTCTCGATCCTCACTATCTTTCTATCTTTCGGCCTCCTCTCCGCCGCAGGACCTGAAGCAAGAACCTGCGACAGGCGCCCCCAAAATTGTTAGCTAGGAACGAGCTCTGCTCTAGTACCGACCACATACACGACCACCATGTGCTACTTAGCCAACCCGACCCCCTTCGATGTCTCGACATTTGTGCCGCAGACGAGTTGCGTTGTCTCTCCATCCCTACGGTCACGATGAAGTATAGCTATGAGGACACGTGTGCGACGAGCACGGTTACGACTACACTATCGAGATAGATGAAGCATGGAGGGATCTGTCTAAGGGAGAATATAATCGTGGTGGATGATTGGAAGTGGGCGTAGAACAGGAATGATGAATGGGGTGGCAACAAGTAACGGCCGTCAACTAGCTATGATAGGGTACGGAGGTTCTGTCTTCACAACTGCCTTCCTTGTTCTGTTAGGACTTTGCAATTCAATTTAAAGTCTCGGACTTTTACCTGATGTGCAATTTATGCGGGTCAGGATCTAATTTCTAGCACATTTCTCATCAGAATGCTGTGCCATCACATGTACATGTTAATTGGAGGGCGATATCTCACATTAATTTATGTTGTTTCCTCAACAGCAATGCCGCATTTGGAGAGGTTTCAAGGAGTGACACATCACCGCTATGTATGAAGAGATTCACCGGTTGTAAAATTCATCAGCCCTCGCCGTAGCGTGGCCGTATGCCTGTTACGACAGTCTGCGAATCGTGGCGTTTTGATCTCCATTACTAGAACAAATCCTTGTTACATGCTTAAAACTCCTCATCACGATCGTCGCATTTCCTAGAATTAAACAATGAGGCTCAATACTTGAGGAGGACTGTGTATGTTTCGCTGTACGAAGTGTAGCGCTTCCTATAATTCGACAGTAAACACCTTCCTTCTACCCCAACATGACTCGATCCACGATTTTTCGACTCTGGAAAGGTAAAAAAGATGACAGGTCTTCGTTTTGAGGGAGCAGAATGAAACACAAGTTGGATAAACCAGCAGAATTCAGGGATCCGGTACCAGAACTACTCAGTAACAAGATCTACGAATATTGGAAGTTGAAGGCTGAGGGGTGCCGGTGCCGAGGCCATCCCATGAACCTGGGCACATGGTTATATTCGAAGAGATGGCACATCAAGTCAACATGTACATTAATCAAAACATGCAACAGTTTCATACCAAAAAATGATCAGAACATACAAATTGATGGCGCGTGAGCAGTTCCGGCTGCATTGGGGACTATACCGAGCCGCCACCCCCACCAACCACTTTGCCGTTTGACGGGCAGTGTCTTCGTTGGTTATATACCCCCCAATCCACGACTCGGCAACCATACAGGCTATCTGTCGATCTAGGTTCTGTGAGATTGAGCACACCTTGCCAGTCATCAAAGCAGCTGGCTCGAACGGACCCGTTAAAAAGTTCCAGCTGGTTGCAGGATTTGGTCACCAGTCCGCAAGTACACCTGGAAGGCTTGGCCGACTGACGTGCCAGTGAACCCAAACTTCTTCAGGTCTTCACAGGTACTTGGGGGCCAGGACATCCACCCCAACCTCTACTCGGCCGTACGTGATGAAGCCACCACAATCAATATGTGGCATAGACTAGGAAAACTTGCTGGCACACATAATCTATGAACTTGTTTGTAATTTCTCTCGTTAGAATAGCTTCAAAGTATTCAAAAGTGCCGGAATGCTAGCCGGTCTCTGTTATTGAGAGTCATACAGGAATTGAAGACGAAACAGCAAGAGCATTTGAAGTGGAAAGAGGAAACATGCAAGGAACTTCAACTTCGGAAAGTGACTCGATATACCTATCGCATTCTAAGTAGTGAGTCATCTCTAAGAAACGCTTGCTTCCTAGATATCTTCGGAGATAAGCCCAAGTACTTCCAGCTTGCTCTCCAATGTTAGCCCCCCCTTTGCATTCAAGCTCCTTTTCGAATCCTTTTAACCTAGTCAAGTTATGGGGCCTCCGCTTTGACCCCCTCCTTGCTATGTTGACGTGCAGATCATCGTCGTTGAGAGCCCCGCAGAGCTTCGTGAAGCCTATCTACCAAGTGCGTATCGGGATTAGACAGAGGTTTAGACAGAGGTAGATTGCCATCGAGAACTAGTCGTCTACGTTAGCGGGCGCATGATAGGCTCAGCGGCTTTCTGAGTTTCGTTGTTTGGTATAACGTTATTCGGGAGGTGACCTTCTGCACCGACTCGAAATCGTGCCCTGTAGTAATCCTCCGGCATTCGCTCGCCTTCACCCCATGGCTTCGGTCGGTACTTCACGTCAACTAGACAAGCCCAGATAGGCATTCCCCCACGCTCGTGTTTTCGGGTGTTGCTTTTCGTCTGCCAATGAGATATGCCACTGGATTCGTTTTCAGGCTCACCTCGCTGGGGTGGGAGGGGTGCGCTACCACCATGACAGGCGTGGACTGGTAGCGGGACGTCAAGCTCGTTCTCGGGAAGTTCACCCCACCCACCAACTGGGTGAAGGCCTGGTGAAGTTGGACGGCTGACCTCATCAGATTGAGAATTATAACCGCTGTGTAGTTGCCTCTGTCCGCTGGTATGTTCGCCCTCTGATTTGCCCTCGCTTTTAGCGTTTTTTTCGTCCATTTGCTCGACCTGTTGCAAGCTTTTTGTGACTCTTGCAACGTCTCTCCTCTGCTCCATTTGGGATTGTAGTTCTACTTCGAATAACGGAACTGCTTTCACCTCTTTGATATCGACCAAGAACTTGACTCGAGGTTCTCCAAAACTCGCTTCATATACCTGTCGATACTCCTTGGGAAGGTTGTCGAGCCTCCGGGGTTGTTTGTCAAACCAAGCTAGCGCCCATGGGGACAGCACACGCTGGCCCTTCTTAGATGTGATCCAAATCCTCGGAAGCTTGTTTGTGTAGTCCATGTGATGTGGCATCACGCCCCAGTGTGCTGCCAGCCGTCCTGGTCTGGAACTAGGCTCCAAAGTGTCAGCCCCATGAGAGATGACTCGGCGCTTCTTATGCGCCCTCGAAGAAGGTGAGTTGTATGTAGTAGGTGGATTGCTCTAATCTAACCGTTAGAACTGTAGGTGGAGCGTGAAGTCTAACATCTTACCGCCGCGTTCTCGAAGTCTCTAGCCTGCATGTTTATACAGAAGTCCGTAGCGTGCGAGAATGCTTGCAGGCGCAAGTACCCCCTTGGATGCGATACGTGATAAAAAGATGTTTGTACAATGCTGTGATGATTCTTGATTCGGCTGTAAGTAACGGGCGGTCGGTTCCTACACTCAAGGTTCGGGTCGGTCCAGAGTCACGATGCGCGTTCTGGGGAGCGTTCCGGTGTCTCAAATCGCTACCTACGGTTACACGGCTTGGGTCGGGAAAGCGTACAGCCAGGCATAAGAAAGGACCTGTCACTTTAGCGGTCGCGCTGCAAGCAAGAAGGAGGCAGCCATAGAAGCGGAAGAGCTGGACCCGCCGGATCATAATGTTCCGAAAGCGGACTAGCGCCATCGCATCCGAGAATAGTAATTCCACTACAGGTATAGGAAGAGTTGCTTTGTACTATATTTGAGTCCTAAATCTATCCTTCCCTTACACATTGCAAAGGTTCAAATTCAGTCATACAAACTAGCCCACTCCTGGGGCGTAAGCGCTGTCTAAATCTTCTTCAAGTACCGATCACTAGCCAGTGCCATATCGATGTGTCAAATGTATAGCTACACCAGATACTATTGCGAAATACAACGCTTGACCTCGATTCAAATCAAGACCTTTCGAGGCCTCGATCGTGGAACGTCCCAAAAGCACGCATTATCCGTTTTGGCGGCTGATCACACTTGCTCTCATCCCCGCTATCACCCTCGCGGCCCCTTTTTGAAACGAAAAAAGTCATGCTCGGGCATCTCATCCAATCTTACGAACCTGAACCTTGCTGATAGGTTTTCAAACATCCTCTGGTTGCTAATCCCTGCTCCCTCCGAGAGCGTGGTGCACGAGTACGCAATCGCCTTGAAAGTCATCATGTCTAGACAGGGCATCATAAGCATGATACATTCGTACTCCTTTAGGATCTGCACGAATCTGTTTTCTCCGTTGAATTTGCGGCGGATGATCCGAGTTTTGGGATAGGGCGAGGGCATACGGGAGTCTCCGAGTTCTTTGAGGAGATTCTGGATTGCGTTGTCGATAAGAGGAGTAGTTTCGAGCGGCTTGGAGCCATATGTAGGGATTGGGAGGTGAAGTTTATTTGTGACTTTGCTTGCCATTAATGACCAGGTACTCCGTTGATACCAAGACGCCAATACTTACATATATATTCTCTGGGTTGCTGACACAGAACATGCGACCTGTGGGACACATCCCACGTATATTTCACCGATGTATGATGGCCTATGTTGGCTTTGTAACCTCCTCTAGTTCTCTTGATCGTGGCCCTCCGCCTATGATGAGCTGTCGGAGCTAAGCTTAGCCTATGGTTTCTATCGCCCATGATGCCAAAGTGCTAATTTCAGGTGAGTGCCTGTTGCAGTGAGTCAGCTAGCTCTACTCGTTGTGACTATGATAAAGGGCCATACAGGGCGTAGTTTCGGTGGTGGCCGACTATGAACATGTATCGGTGGGATTGATAGGGAAATGAGCGCCTCAATGAGAAGCAAGGAAATATATAAGATTTTGGTTATCAACAAGAGAAAGTAAAATCCGTTATTTTGCATGACGCGCAGTGTTTACATGAGCGAATCGGGCTCTGTCGGGTGACATATTGGCAGTCCGTGCGGCACATTGCGGTAAACAATACCCAAAGGAGCAAGATAACCGCGTAATTGGTTATGAAACATGTCCTAGAGCATCTAGTAGTCTCTTATTTAGACAGTGGCGCCCGGAATTTGTTCTTATATTCTTGAATTACTTTCCGTAGCTTCTACATTATGTACCAAACACTTGCCTTGATTGCGATTTTAGACATAGCAAGCACATGTATCTCTAGGCAGACTGTAGGTAGACAATCAGTTTGTCTCATATCTGCTTCCTCACTGCTGGTCTGATATGATACGTATAACCAATGTCCAGATCCCTGCTTCAACTCATTGCGCCATGTTTGTAACCAAGCTCGAGAAGGCAATCGTCATGGCGTAAGGGGGTTAGCAACTCGTGTATACTCTCAACGGTATGCATGTGGGATTGCCCGGGAAAAGTTGATCTGACTAGGCCTGCAGTACCTAATTCAAAGAGATGGCATGGGAGCTACTTCCATATTGCGCTCATCAGAGCTGAGGGCGATTCTTAGGGCCTTATTGAGCGACATAGCAAGCATCGTAGGATTCTTGAAAAGCTGGTCCTACTCCAATCGAAGTCTCATAACAGCTCTCATTCAATTCCTCATAGCCTGCCCTATGTCAGACTGCATACGTTTTAGGGCAGGTTTGATTACACTTTTTACAAGACCTCCTGAGCTGTTTGAGCTTTGGATGCTGTGAAGGGATGTCGCCGGCTTTAGATACGATGAGGTTGAAATGGCCCTGCGCATATAGCGACCCGGGGTCAGAGTCTTGCACACGAATGTTGTGGACCCGACTTATCATTCACCTCCTAGCTCAGTGCTCTTTTCGAATGCAATCCAGCCTCAACCCACCACAGAATTGCTCACACGTCAACGGTTAAAGTATACATAGGTCTCTACCATTGATTGCCTAGAGACCCAGGTATGTAGTATGTTCCATTCAGATACGATGGCCACAACTGTTCGGGATTATTGATATTCGTGATAGAAGACCTCACTTCGCTCGACCGAACTTTGCCAGTCCCCACTAGGCAAGCATCACGCCCCATCGTATAAAAAACACTCATACCTCGGGCTTTTCTTGTACGGGCCTTCACCCAGCTCCGGTAAGATAAGAGCTGATCAAGGTAACAGCCGTTTCGAGCGCTTTTGCTTTTGATGCGTCGAGTCGGAAGACTTAGACACGCCCATGATTTCTGCATCCGCGACACAAGGTAAGTAGCACTTATGCATGGTAGCTGTCGACTAATCATAAACCAACACAACAGTCCTAGTAGATAGCTCCGCAGATCATATTACTACATCTATCCTGACAAGCCTGCCCTAGCGATCGGTGCAGCAATTATCCCTAGCCATAATTCCGACTACCTATACGACGCGTATTTGCCCGAAAATAGAGCATCCCCACTTCTCCGAGACGCCTGTTCACGATTTAATCTTGCTCCAATCTACCACACGGTATTCAAAACCACGTCAACACCATCTTGAACGTCTTGACAAAAGTTTGGTAGCCCCCTTCTGACATCTACGAGCAAGAAACTGGATTTCGGTGGTGGGAGGTTGCGCCGGATGGCACTGAACAACTATACTGGGAGTGCTACTAGCTCTTCGTAAGGCCGGGTTTGAACGTTTGAATTCTCGCCGTGCTTAAAGAAACATTATATCTCCGTATTCTAGTATGGTTGGAAGTTCGCTACCCTATAAAGTATCGTCAGGCTTTGAAGGCCTCCGAATGCAATATGAGATTCTCTGGGGCATTCAGAAGACACGCCGTTTCTCGAAAAGCATCTATGCAGAATACCCTGCAGCAGGAAGAGCCTTGAAAGGCGACTCTTCGAGCTGACTAACCAGACGTGAAGTGGCGAAGTGAAGGGAGGTCGCGATCTACTCGCTAGATGACCAGCTTGTGATACCATTGGGGAATTTCACATCTTTCCAATGTACCAGACACGAGGCTTCGGGATGAACGTCAACAAACAAGTCTCATTACTCGCAGGTGTGAGTAAAAATACACCAAAGGCATTAACTAAATCATTGCTTAGAACAAGAACAAACAAATTCACAAAGCAAAACAAAACGTTGCCCTCATACATTACCTAGCCCCTCCCGCGAAATTCTCTCTTTTCTTTATAACAATTTGTGTTTTTTGGTCCCATATGGGTGTCTCTTTTCTCTTTTCTCTCCTTTCCCTACTGCTTTACCTACGTCCAACCGGGCCAAACCACCTCTTCGCATGCGTCGGTTGCGCCGTCGTTGTAACGGTTCTTGTCACCGTCGAAACGCGGGATGAGGCGGCTTGGACCTGTGTAACAGTGGTTGGCTTCCCCTGCGCAGTCACTGTAGAGGTTCGCTGCTGTGCGATTGTCGTAGACTGCGTGACGGTCGTGGTGACTGGTTTCGCTTGTTGTCCTTGAGCTTGAGCCGCTGGAGCTGTCACTGTGGAAACACGCGTCTGTACAACCGTAGTAGTCACCACCTTTGTAGGTTGGCCCGCTTGGGTAGTGGTTATCGTCGATATGCGCTGTTGGGTAACCGTTTTAGTCGAGACGCTGGTATTCGGTGCGTCCTGAGCTTTCACTTGTTGAGCTCCGGCTGCCGCTGTTGTAGTCGTCGTTTCCGTCGTTGTCTCCGTCTCCGTGACCGTGCCCTGACCAGCAGCTCGTACCGTTGTCGTAACTGGATATGAGCTCACTGTAGTCGAGGTGGCAGTAACAGTTACGGGCCGTGTACTAGTTACATATACAGTTGAAGAGCTAGTGACATAGACTGTAGTAGCTGCCGTAGTACTGGTAACATACGACGTTACGGAACTCGTGATGTATGATGTAGTAGCTGCCGTGGTGCTAGTAATGTAGGAGGTTGTGGAACTCGTGACGTAGTATGTAGTAGCTGGTATGGTAGTCGTAGACAGCTCGGTGGTGGTGCTTCGTACCGTCGTAGTGACTGGATACGAGCTCACTGTAGTTGAAGTAGCAGTAACAGTTACGGGTTGCGTACTAGTAAAATAGACGGTTGATGAACTCGTCACGTAGAATGTAGTAGCTGCCAGAGTACTAGTAACATATGAAGTTGTGGAACTCGTGACGTAGTATGTAGTAGCTGGTATGCTAGTCGTGGAAAGCGCAGTAGTAGTGCTGAGACGAGTGGACGTTGTAGTATACGCAGATATCTTGGTGTTAGGGTTAGCAAACCTACTCTGAGCGAGGAACCATACGCCAGCTTTGATACCGGAGACAAGCGAGCCTGCCAGTCTGACAAAATTCAAAATGGGATGCATGAGGTTTTAACACAATTGCGGACTACCTTGCGTGCCCCTCAAGTGCTCCAGATACATCGCGGTGACGGAGTCGCCTTGCGAAGAATATCTCGGGTGCTCCAGGGGTGCTCAAGTAGCCACAGCTGTGTATGAAGGATAGAATAAAGAATCAATGCAATATAAGCCATCGAAATTGCGAGAATCATACCTGAGTAGTCGTAGCCGTGACCGTGGAGGTCACTGTAAATGTGCCTGAGAGAGTCGACGTGATCGTTGAAGCACCAGCTTCAGTCGATGTGACTGTTTCCGTAGTAGAAACAGTTGATACTTTCCCGGTGATGGTCGACGTGATGGTCGAAGTAATCGTTGAAGTCGCAGATAGAGTTGACGTAATTGTCGAGGTGGCTGAAAGTGTAGACGTGACGGTTGAAGTCGCGGAGATTGTTGAAGTGGTTGTTGAAGTGCCAGACAATGTCGATGTGATAGTTGAAGTGATTGTTGCGGTGGCTGAGAGTGTCGACGTGATCGTTGACGTAGCGGACAGCGTCGAGGTGACTGTTGACGTAGCGGAGACTGTTGAAGTGCCAGACAGAGTTGACGTGATAGTTGACGTGATTGTCGCTGTGACAGACAAAGTTGAGGTGTCAGATTCAGTTGAAGTAACCGTTGCCGTTGCTGATAGAGTTGACGTAATTGTTGCTGTGGCAGATAGAGTTGAAGTAACTGTCGCCGTTGCTGATACGGTCGACGTGATGCTGACTGTTTATGGGCAAACTTGTCAGCACTCAAAAATCCTCGATTGGACTAAAACTTTGTATCTGACGGCTTGTGTTTCTTGTAGGAGAACTTACCAGTGATCGTACCAGACGTTGCCGTTGTCGTTTCAGTCGTAGTTATAGTGTCTAAATTTCATGTCAGCGCTTTATTCAAGTATGCCTGGTGCCGATGATTGCGCTGAAAGATGGGAGCATCTGGAGTACTCCGCATAGCCACGTAACCTTAATACGCCAAAAGGTACGTGAAGACCAAGGGCTAACAAGATACCTCGTGGCGAATAGCTGTAGCATTGAGGGACGCAGATTGAACGAGCTTCATGTGCCAAACATGGCCGGGAAGGAACGGGATTTGGAGGTGAACTTACTACTGACGGTCTGTGTTACGACATCTGTGAAAGTGTTCGTCATCGTCGAAGTTTCTACATGACGAATTAGCAAGTCTCTTATCAACCCAATCCAAAACAGATGGAGGGAGGTATTGTCGCTTGGTCAGACTTTTTGCCTGAAGCCCGGAGGCTCTAGGTAAACCCTTCTTCGCCCAGAACTACGGCTGTCGATAGGACTTACCGGTCGAAGTAGCCGTCGCCGTCAGTGTGCTCGTAACTTGCTCGGTGCTCGTACTCGTGATCGTCTGTCCAGCATTGACATATTCGGTCGAGGTCGATGTGTAACTCGATACCTCAGTGGTGGTGCTAAAGACTGTAGTTGTCGTTGGCACATCGTTCGTTACTGTGAAAGTGCCTCCCGTTGTCGTAGTTGTAGTTATAGTTTGTGTAATGGAACTGGTGGTTGGGACAGTTATAGTGTTGGTGATGGTTGAGGTAGACTGGTCAGTTGCAGTACTATATCATGTCAGTGTTTTCTTGCCATTCGAGAAGGGAAGTATCATCCAATATCGGGGATCTGAACGAGAGCAAGGAGCGAATAGGACAGGAACGGGTAAACGAAGTTTGCAAATCGTGCAAAACAAGAAAATGCTGTAGTTTCACGCGAGAAATGCTCACCTCGTAACGCTGCTGGTCTCCGTGACTGTACGTGTGATAGTAGGTCCTGTCACATAAGAACTTTCTGTCAAGGTTCTATACGCGTCGTGTTAGCTAGTTGAGCGCATTCGTTTCCGTGTTTTCAATCAGCATAGCGAAGAATCATTGCACAACGTTTGTCGGTCCAGTCCTCGTATTTCCAGTATTCAAGGCGGTTCCAGAGGTCTCGGATCCAGAGATGGCGGTTCCATGGAGAGCAAGAGCCGTACTGGGATGCTGCTGCGAGTATCTTAGGTTTTTCGTAGACACTCTTTCGTGGAGGGCTACCCTTGGTACGCTCTGTTTTGCACGCGCCATTGTCGGAATGCTATCGCGGCAACGGCACGTCGCTGGAATGCTATCGTGAACACACCTCCTGGACTAGTCCATCTCAGCAGCCGATACGACCGAATCAGTCTTAGTGGGTATATCAACAAAATGGAATGTAACGCGTACTATCCCTCGACACAGGTTCAGGCGGTCGACGGCGCGCAGGGGGCTGTAGATGTTACCTAAGTACAACTCATCAGAGCAACGGCGCAACGCTCGGTACATTCGCCTCTACTTCAAGCAGACTCTTGGGCGCCTCGCAACATCGTAATCCTCGATTTCGTATATCCAAATATTGGCTACACGTCGACTGCATCTCGCAGGATGTGGTCGCAATGGGTGGCAGCTGTCGATGAATCGGTGGATCTGATCTGTGCAAGGGAGGTGTGTGGCCTGCAACGGCCAACTTAACTGCTATGGGCTGAGATAGCAGAGCTCTAACAACCTGAAAAGGCAATCAGGTGAGTAACAAGATTGCCTTGGAAGCGCAATGTTGCCAAGATGATGTTGTTGGAAGTTGAGTGCGAAGCCGCGGCGCGTTAGTGCACGGACCATGGATTATGATGCGGGGCCACTAGCAATTACATAATATCTCATCCCTCATCTCATACAACTGATCAAGTCCTTACGCCAAGGCCCGTGTGTACATGCGATCTATTTCGTCTACTCTCTGTGGTGAAATTTGAGGGTGGATGTCATGATTATTTCCAATTGTTACTCACAATCTACGTACTGTAGCTAGACTATCAGCAATACACTGGAAGGGGTTCTTAACCAGATGCAATGCGGTCTTTTGAATTTGCTAAACATTAGTGCAATATGATGAAGATTTCCTGGAGTTCATGCATTATCGCTCTATCATTCGATAAAATGAACAACGCATTATATTCTCAACTGGATATTAGCCATAGCAACAAAGGAAGCATCAAGCGACTCAGAGTGAACGGTATCTTCTCAAGTCTACAGGAGATGCTGATTGGCGCAAACATCTACACATACTCATTACTCTATAAAAAGGTGACATTACGTTAAGGAGCATATTTATACAAAGTGGAACCCGCTATTATGTACTAATGGATACGACGACCGTGGAGAAAAATTAAGAAAAACCGCAGCAAGTCTGAAGGAGATCAAAAGTCATTATCGACACACACTGCGCCTTACCACGGAACAGTCTCCTTTCCCCTCCAGATACTACTCGCCCGACTACTGGGGGCACTACTCCACCTATCCGGCGTCAATCTAGGCGTGCTAAGCTGGCGAGGAAGCACCGTCATGGAGATACCGAAGTTCTTCTTCTCTGCACCGAGCCATGTAGCGGAGTTATTTGCACTCAGATTTTCAGCTGCGTAAATGCCATTGCCTGTTGTCGCGTTGTGTGCGCGAAGCGCGGCGCGATAATTGGGCGAACGGTACTTTCCGATCCAGAGCATCTGCTCGTGTTCTCGGAGATAACGTTCTGAGCTGAAGTTCTTTTGAACGTTCTCGCGACCCATCATACCGAGTTTGCGACGCTGGTCTTTCTTGTCGTACATGCGTTGGGAGATGGCGCTGACTTCGTCGGCGGTCGGGACGGGATACGAGAGAACGGGAGGCAAGACACCAGGGGCATCTTCAGCGTGAGAAGACCACTTGCCGAGAAGTGCCAGGATGTTAATTTGAGCGCGAGCGAGCGATTCGCAATCGTTCGGTGGTACTACCTCACTGAAAGCATCACCGGTCGAGCGGTCGGTGACAACGCAGTATGAGGCGCCGACGTCAGTACAGACGACGGGGACACCGGTTAAAGCGGCTTCACCCATAGCCAACGGTAGGCCTTCAGAGATGGAGGAGTTCAGGAAGACCCAAGCGTCCTGGAGTACAAGTGAAGCATTACCGAGACCCTTTAGCACGCAGGAATCACCAAGGCCTTTGGCAGCGATGAGTTCCTGGCATTCTGTTGAGTGACCAGCAGCGCGTTCCATGTCCCCATAGATATGGAGCCGGTAGTCTTTGAAGCCCCATTTGTTCACAATAAGGTCGGTGGCCAAAATTGCGTTCTTGATGTCCTTGACGTACTGGACATGCGACAACATGACTACGGTAGGGGTGTCGGTCTTGATAGTCTTGATAGGCTCAAACTTTTCCATGTTGCAAATTCCGTTGACAACGGGATCGATCTTGCGAGCGAAAGTTCGGCGATGCTCGAGTGAACCCTCCGCACTGCCTAGCTCAACCTCCCATCCGGGATTGTAGTAGTCGCAGCATGGGAGGACTACATCAGCATGATGTTCAAGGAGAACACAGGCCAAGTGTCCGAGAGACATGAGGGAGCTGTTAACGAACGGCATGTCGAACGATACGGCGGATGACATGAAAATGGTGAATTCGCGGAAACTGATGCAGTGATCCCAAACATGAAGACTGACTTTACGTTTGACCTTACACAGGATACCGAACGTCGCGCCGGTAAAATGGTGTCTAATTATTGATGTACACGGTCAGTGGTTGTCTCGGCCTTTTTGTTTGGACGTTAAAAAACAATGGGGGGGGGGGGGTTTCGGAAGCGCTCGTGGACGTTACTTACGATGCTTGGAAGATGTCGGGTAGCTTCTCTGGTACCGGAATAGAAAATATAAAGAGGTATCGACACCACAAGTTGAGTGCTTGGTCCAGTTGCTGCATAGTCGGCTTTTCAAAGTCCCACCATTGAGAAACCGTTAGGGTGTCTGGCATGTTTTCAGACAGCCAAAGCTCACGCCAAGTAGTCTTAACGATTTCGCTGCTCCAGACATCGTTCCAACTGCGAGACGATTCAAAGTACGTGTTGAGGTCAACAAGTGCCTTGGTAGCCTCTTCTAGATGTTGACGGGTAAGATGGTTGGTCCGTGCGCATCGAACCAGGCTAGTCAGAATTGGGATAAAATGTTGGCGGATGTCAGAGGTCCGGGTATCGTAAGACCTCTCGACAACTTCTGAGTCGAGGCAGTTTTCAAGCATGCCGTGAGTTGGGTTGAGAAAGTCGAGACCCCAGAGAGGCAAAACAGTGAGGGACTTGACGTTTCGCTCAATCTGGAACTTTGGTACACCATAGTCACTAAAAGTTGTAGTCAGTATACGTTTCATATGCATTTTGAACCAATTTAACTTGCTTTGCCATTTCCGCGACGACATGCCACTTCGTTGTCTTGAGATCGTTAACCATGTCGCGACGGCAAGCAGAAACACCGCCCGGCTCATAGGGCCAGGTCGATGTATCCATAGCCATGACGTGCAACTCATCGTCACTGTCCTGAATTTCGCCGGTATGCTTTCGGGTGTTGATTGTCGTGTCGCCACCGGACCCGAAGCTATAAAGATCGGAGATATTATACGCCACGTGCACCCAGGCACTGATCTCGGAGTCGACATCAGTTCTCGCCATGATAGTATCGGCATGCTCGTCAAGGAAATTCGTCGCACGATCAAGCATTCCAAGATCACGGCTGCGCCAGTATGACTTTAGAGAGCTATCGGAACGTAGAAGATCCTCATCGAGCCACCTAGCAGTGACCGCATCAAGGTCACGCCCACCTTTCCATAGCTTCCAGAGTTGCGTTCGAGCATGAGCGGTTGACATGGGATAGCGCTTAACGTTGAAGCCGAGTAGCCGGGAGACAATGTTTGAGGAAACCGAAGAGAAGTTAATAAGCGGATTGTCGCTGAGGAAGCCAAGCTTCTGTGGCTTGTCCAGAACATGAAACCAGTCCTCTGTAATCATCTTGGGCGTATCCACGGGCTCTCCATTTAGGGTTGTCGATATATCTGGATGGAACTTGTGCTCATACGCCCATGTGGAATGATAAACATCATCGCCTTCGATGAAGGTAGCCTCAGTGACCTTCGGGAATGGTACCCAATGATCTAAACGTTCGGGACGGGTGCGAGGTGGCATGCTCCACATTATACGGATGGTAATGTGAGGCAGGACGTACTCTCCGCGAAGAAGCTCGTCTTCGAATTTGGCGTTTTGGCGGTACCAGTAAGTGAATTGAACGGGATTGATGTCGCGGAACGTCGATCCAGTAGTGATGTACCCTCTCCAGTCATACTGCACAATTTCACCAAGGAGCCTGCCTTGAATACACTGTCGCTGTAGTGGTAAACCGCTAGACTTCTTACCCTTTGGATATTCGTAAGTGAACATATTGAGCATTTTCTCGCCTTTGTACTCTTCGCGTTGGCGAAGGAGAAACTTGTCGCCATAGGTGTTGATCGCTACGAGCTGTTTGGAGTCTTCAGGTTCCTTATCGTGCGTGCCAATGAATTGACGAAGGCGAACGCTACCATCCTCTTGACGCGACCAGAAGCAGGTTGATGGTCCCCGGAGGTTCTCAATGACGATTCGGTTCTTCTTCAAGACGGTTTTCATGCCTTGCATGTTGCTTCGGAGCTCTTTAACATTGTCGCGCCCATGTAGCAATACCACTGGAATGATGAGACCTTGTAAGAACTTCACGTACATCCAGATACCGTTAAGCAAGAATGTTACTGGCCAGTGAATGAACATGGGTTTCGTCCCGATCATGTAATCCAGTTCTCGTTGATATTCAGGATCGGCGACAAGTGCAAGGATGAGGAACTTGATGCAAGCTTTCCATACCATCGTGAAACGGAACAAAACTTGCTTGAAGGGACCTCGTTTAGCTATTTCGACGGCTAAGTTTGAATTTGCGAAGACTTCTTCATCGTTCAAGTATAGACTGTCAACGTCACTTCCGATATTGCCACGATTGGAGCCGAACGATTTGGCGTATGCGATGACGGAAGCGGCGAGAGCGGCGCTGAGATCATACCGGGCAATGTATTCATCACAGTTGAATCCATCCGTGGCTAGCGTTCTTGATGTAATCCAAGCTTCCTCGGTGGCAGAAAGGGTTTCTGACTGACCCGCGCAGTGCTTGAGGAGAAATGCTCTTATCTCGTTTGGCAGATTGTCCCATTCGGTCTCGATATTCACTCCGAGACAAAGATGACGAATTAGCATCTTGTTGCCATAGCGAACAACACGGGCGCGTTCCTTAATCGACGTCTCAAGATGGCGCTTGAAACCTTCGGGGATTTGGGCTTCCTTGCTATGGATCTCGTCGACAGCAACCAGTTGTGCGAGCATGGAGTGGTCGTGCGACATCCCTAGATGATGTTCACAGGTCGCCTGCATTAGAGCTTCGGCGATGATCCTTGAGTTGCGGTGGATATCCATAGTCCAGTCAGTAGATTTCGTGCCAAGCGCTACGAGGACGTGGAGCTCGTCGCCGTGTTTCCGAGAGATAGATCGTAAGTTTTGTTCGCTTTGGGGAAAGCAGCTGGCGCTCACCAACTCAATGACCGTGCTACCCGCGCTCCAAAGCTCTACAGCACGTTCGATCATTTGCTGTGCTAATGGAAAAGCGGCATTGACGACTTCGGGCCTGGGAGCTTTGCTGCGGTGAACTAGGAATTCCAGTACACGAGCACCGGGGTGTTCGGAGGGTTTCAACTGAAATCGCTGCTCCGTTGGGAGGTACTGAATGGACTCGAAAGACTTCGCTAGAGTGGCCTGAGAAAGATATGGATAAGGTTCCATGGAGCTACAAGAGTAGGCAAGTGGCTTCTCCTTGAAGTCAGTCTCGTCTAGAGACGCTGCTACAGGTGTCGATAGAGACTTGATATGGAAAATGTTCGGGAAACCGATATTCGTAATATAGAGTGAGTGAAGACCAGCGATCCAGGTAGCAAAGCCCAGGCCTGTGACACCACTATATGCCCAATGCTCCAGTTTGAGATGTAGGACGATACCAGCTGGTATACCAAGGATTGAAGCCAGCGCGAGGGACTTCGCACCATTATTACCGCAGAATATTTTGTTGTACTGGTAGAAAAGTAAACCGGTGTAAGCACCGATATATGCCAGATACAGGACCATGGCCTCCATAGCGCTGTCAAAGGTCCACATCAGCGCAGCAGTAATTGCGACGCCCCAAAGATGTAGGAAGAAGAACTTGGTAAGATTCTTGAAGTAGAGCTGTCGCCTCGCGCTCGCATCATTCGTGGTAGCTTCCCGTAGCGATTTGAGAGAGGTGATTCGCTGAACTGTTTTCTCGTTTGCGGCGATCCAGAGAGGTTGCGACACGGTGTCCAAAGATACCGCGCCGATGAGATAGTAACACAAGCCGAACCCAACGGCTAAACGGAACGTCTCGGTGCTAGCTGCAGAAAGACCAACAAGACCACCGTTGGTGAAAAGCGAGGCCCACTTGTCGGTCAGTGCAACAACGAAATATAGGATGCCGGACCAAACGTCCGATCCAGTGTGGCGCCAATGGAGGAAGGCATTGTGAAGCTTGAGACCCTTCTGCATATTCGTGATGTTTTCAAGACCAGCTTTTAGCGTGAGGTTCCACGTTGGGCTATAAGCTAGTGGCATTGCTGTTCTTCTGTGGCGGCAGTACCAAGTCATCAGAAACCTCGTTGACGCATATCCAGCGGCCAGCTTCGACACGAGTGGATCCTTGGTCTTCACGTTCCAGAAGGAGCGGTTGGATTCCTTGAGGACAGCGGCATGGAGCTCATTTCTTGGCTGACCGGTTGCACTTAGTCTCTTCATATCATCTCCGGAAGCCACGGTGTCATGCTTCTTCGTATACCAAGTTACAACCTCAGCATCAGTGACAACCGGAATGTTCAGATACCATGTCGACCAGTTTGACATGACCTGGCGAGCCCCGAAAAGTAACGAGAACAGGAAAATCGAGAGGACCGAGAGATATACCGCTATATCATGCTGGACGAATATTGTCAAAACTGGCGAGATGAAGAGGATTGGTATGCACATCATGATGACTGTGCGGCCGGATTGGAAGCTGGATCCGGGTATCTGGTAGATGGATAGCGCGGATAATGCCAGCAGGTATGTTGCTAGCATGGAAAAGTAAAAGACAAATACTGCCGCATCCCCAGGATTATGGGTAATTGAGATAACCACAAACGATATGACGGCGCCAAACAGAATTACCGAAACACCAGCCACGAAACGTGTCATAACGAACATGTTCATAGCCGGAAATGCGCTTGCGTAGATGTAGTAACATCCTCCAGAAGATATCCAAGATCCAATGGAACCACATATCAAAAGGGCAATCATGAGCGCGGTAGTAGCGAATGTTTTCTGGTTCGAGGTCATGAAAGTAGTTAGGTAAAGTCCTCTTCCGATGGTCGTAAGCAAGAAGATATCGATGAGGGCAGGAACAGCAAAGATACCCAGAAACGTAACCTGGTAAAGGCTTGAAGCTTTGTCTTTGAATTCAGTATCGGTGTCCACTTGCATAGCAGCGTAGGCAGTGGGGAGTTCAGTGTAGCCATCTATCCGGTCCGGCGGCTGATGAACCGAAAAGTATTCACGGTAGCGGGCAGCAAGGATTACACCAAGGACTCTTGGCGTGAAGTCGAAGAAGGAGTCACATCGTGAGCCAACCGCAAAGTTCTCAGCAAAAACACCTGCTTGATCCGTTGAATGGTTGGGGAAGGCGTTACGATCCAGGACCTCCAGGTAAATCTCGTCGAGAGAGAGTTTGCGGAAAGCGCAGAAGACTGCTAGGGCAAGAAAATCGGCCCCTGCATCGATTTCATCCTTCTGCATTATCGTCTGAATAGCAGTGCTGAGTCGCTCATAAAGCTCGCTGTCGCCTTCCATTAGGACCTGATGAAGACGAGCGCCCACCTCCTTGAAGAGCTCAACAGCTATAGCGGGATCTGAGTAGGCCCATCCTTGGTCCTGGAGCCAGTCGAGTCGTGAATGAACCAGGCTTTCGACCGAAATTCTGCCGCTGAGGTATTCCTGAGCATTCAGGGCTCGGAGCTGCATCATTGAAGGACGTTCCAAAAGCTGGTACTCGCAGCAAGCACGAAGCCTAGCAAGCAGGAACGAATCCTCTTGAGACTTCGGTAAAAGGCGCTGGCGAAGGAGAATTGTCTCGGCGGGAGAGAGCTTCTCAATATCGCTTACGATGCGCTCAGGTAGATGCCAGGTTTTTGAAAGTGTACCGTTCAACTCGGCCATTGCGAACTCGGCCATTAAGCACTCAGCACGCGTGCATCCTCGGCTAGAGAGAAAAGTGTGAAGGATGGTGCTTGCGCGGTCTTGTGTAAATCCAGAAAGATAAATGTCCAATCCACCATAACTAGCATCGAGATCGTACAGGCCCCAGAATTGGACATCCGCGTTGGTCTGGAAACCAGAATGTAGTCCTATATATACATTAAGCTGCGCCATTTCAGAAGATTCTAGCATGGCCAGGAGATCTTCAGTGGCTGTGGATGCGGCCAAGGACAGTGCTCGGGATCCGTGGGCATTCTGCAGCGCTTGAATCTGCTGTTTGAAAGATTGAAGCTCTTCTGCCTCGACTTCTTGGAGGAGGTTGAGATCTTTCAGATGACGCTGTGCTTGAAGAAGCTCTTCGAACTCTTCAGAGCTAGCCTCAAGCCCCAGCTGAAAACAGCCTAGACCAGTGTAGTCGGTACCGTCTGCTGATCTCGATAGCGGATTCGTACGCGGGTCTTTGAGGGCCTGGGAGAAACGTACGCGGTCTCCGATCGCGCCTGTGGGCTCCATAGGAAGTGCAATTCCTGTCTGGGGGGTGAATCGCAGCCTCGAGGACAGTTCCGGGATGAATGCATTGAGAGAAGCGTAAATCTCGTCATTGTCGCGCACAGCAGGGGATATCTTGTCGTTGGCGCGCCAAGTGTTGTGGGCTTTCATGTTCTTGTCGTTCTTCATCCACATCAGAGCACCTAATGGCTTCTCGCTTATGGTCTGTGTCGCAGCAACCTCCACATCGACTAGCGCAGACTCAGATCCAATCCAGCACAACGCACTGTTGTACCTACACCAGATAAAACTGCGTTGAGTGATGGCGTACTGATGCTCGACCCCGTCATTTATCGTTTCCCAAAGCATTGTGGGAGGGCCATGAGGGACTCTTTGAGCAGCAATCGCCCTCATAGCCGTTCGCATTCCTGACATCTGGTGGTAATTTTGTTGTTCGCCGTCGGTCCGAATAGTGCCGTTTCGATACACGATGCCTCCGATTGATTTCATGGTAATCGCGCGGCACTGTTCGTCCGAAAGATAGTCAGGTCCTGACATCTCCAACCATAGTTCGAATCCGAGGTCGTTGATGTAGCTTATCAGTTGATTCAAAACAGCCGGCGAGAAATGCTGGGAGAAATTGGCCAAAAGGATGCCCGTGAACGGAGACTCTCCTTCAGCGCCGTTTCTGAAGAATTTCGCGATAGCTTCGTCCAGGGCGCGGATCGCCCGAATCACTTGGTCGGCGCTGGAGCCTTGCTCCAACCCCATGAGTGATTGAATATCCACACGTCCCATTGTGCGTGGGGAGGTATAGGTGCATGCGGACAAGGCACTTGTGACGCCGCTCGCGAAAGGGTTTAGAATGACTGCGTCCCATTGCGATAGTAGGCGGGCTTGAGCGGGGCTGGTAGGATGGTCGATCGTGCCCAGGTATACTCCGAAAGATTTGAGCTCTTCGGATACGGGTTTGGCGACCGCAAGACATTTGACGCCGCGTCTTAATCGAGCGATGTGTTGCGCAACAGATCTCGGAACTGTAACTCGCTGTTTCCTTCCCTGAATTACACATGAAGTAAGTATGGGTCCTCGCACGATTCGAAGTGTAAAGACTCACTTTCAAGTAGCCCCTTAGGATCAATATTAATCGATATATTAGATACAGTGCAGCCAGGACAGTGGTGGCTAGCAAGAAAATTCCAATGACCTAATATCTCGATTAGTATACATCCTATGGTAGGGTCTGACAAAATCACCTTGTTCCATGTAGACCTAGACATAGTATCCCAGCCAACAGCCGACAGGCCAAGGTAGGACAACGTCATGGTGAACGGTCACTAAATCGAAGAACAAAACGAAAAACGGTAATACGCAACAGCAAGTTGAAAAGCGAGTGTGTACAGCTTGGAAGCTGCTTGAATTAAAAGCTGGAGAAGACGGGAACCAGGAATTTTCATCCATCCATCACTAACAAAACCATGCACGACCTTAGCGGTATGGAGATCCAGCCCTTTCAGCAGAACTAGGCGTTCGCGAATGCAGCCCTTGAGCCCGGCCGTCACTTACCAAGATAAGAATATCGATAGCCCTGGCGTATAGACGTGGCGGTCGGCGCTGGGCGTGCTTCCTTCGTATCGACAGCGAGGACAGGCTGACGCTATTCTAGGTACCCCCTGGCTAGCCCAAACCCTGGCTCATAGTCACCCAAATTGGCCACTGCATACCCATTTGTATTTTTAGGCTAGCCGATCGGCCCCGGGGGCGAGACTGCAGGTTCTGCATCTGTTTCAATCTTGGGGGTTCTAGCTAGCGTCCGTAAATCTCCCCCCTGATCTTGAGATATTGAAGCGAAACCGCACGCGTGAAATCTACAACCCAGCTTTCTGTCATTATGGCGTCCAAAGTCGACCTTCCTACCCATTTTCGAGATTGGAATGCGTCTTCTAATGCTTCCGATGGAGCAACGCAGAAGCCGATTCCCCAGAAGGCGGTATGGAAACGTCCTTGGTTTATAGGCATTGCTGCCGCAGTTGTCATTGCCATCATCATTGCCATCGTCGTCCCGCTCGCTGTCGTTCTTCCCAAGAAGGGTAAAGGGAAACACGATGCCACAGTCATAGTGCCGCTCTACATTTACCCCAAGGACAATAGCACTTGGGCGCCACTTTACAATTCGTGAGTGAAGTTCTTCCCAACACGGTACACGGTACATCTCCATGTTATAACAGTACTAATCTTCACGACAGCGTGTTGGCGCGGCCGACTCTCGACTTCCTTGTAATCATTAACCCAAGCAGCGGTCCTGGAACTACGCAGTATCCCAACGACCAGTATTCCGCTGCACTGCGTCAACTCTCGAAGTACCCCAATGTCCAGAAGATTGGATATGTTCGCACAGGATATGCCTCCAGAAACTTGACGGATGTCATTTCGGAATTGAACACCTACGCCGGATGGGCTTCAAAGGACGCGGCATTCGGAATCGACGGCATATTCTTCGACGAATCGCCCCACGAATATTCCGCCGAGGCAGTTGACTTCATGCTCAGCGCATCTCGAGCTGTGAAAAATGCGACGGGACTCCAAGCCAAAAAGACGGTGCGTATTGGACCCACTGAGTTTCGAAGTAAAAGGCCACTAGCTGACAAGTGTACGGACGTAGGTGATCCGCAATCCAGGTGTGATTCCAGAAGCTCGCTTCGACGACGCCAACACAGACATTTCGGTCGTGTTCGAGCAGTCATACGCCGAGTACCAAAGTAAGGAATCTGACCTAGCCGCTCTCAAGGACGGCCGGGCCCATCACTGCTACATGGTGCATTCGGTACCTGGCCTTGGCAAGGACAAACTGCGCGATTTTGTGGATGATATGAGCAAGCGGGCTGAATACCTGTTTGTGACGTCCAACGACAAGGAGTACTACGAGAAGTTTGGTAGCGACTGGAGCGATTTCTTAGACGTGGTGCCGGCGGCCAAGCGGCAGTGAGTTCCCGTAGACAAGTAAAAACTTCATCCACTTAATAATAATGGGGCGATACAAGCCACCCAACCCACCCAACTGGCAGCGCAACCGTCACCCCGAAGCTGACCACGTGGAATTTTTGGACTCAACATTGACTAGTGTTATCTTGTTGGCGTGCCAATGTGCGCTGCACGATTGGTGGTCAAAATGGAAGGAGCAACACGAAGGATCGATGTTGCGATAAGCTTCGCAGCGCTAACTTCATCGGCTGCATGCATGTGTCCCGACTTGGCCGATGAACGCCGGTGCGCGCATTTGCGTCAAGGCTGCGAAAATCTTCAATCGTCTTTCTCGTCTGGGCCAACATCACTTAGAAGAGTCTGCAGTGATCAATCTACCTCACTATTGCCCTAGCCCCGCAAACATGCCGACACATTCTGGACACCCGCGGAGTTCTCCATGTTGACCTTTGCTAGCCATTAGCATATCTACTTGAACAAAGAAAATTGCCAAGGGTACGTGCCTGTCAGATCCCTGTTGGGACCTGGTCAACATAGCCTCTCTGGCCCGAGAGCCAGGGCAAGGCGTTAGGCTACCGCCTCTTGTTGAGGAACGCCCCACCCCACCCGTTTGGTGGTATGGTACCGAATTCTGGGCAGCACGTTTTTTCCCTCAGACAAAGGATTCAGGGCGGGATGCCACGTTGTCCATGCGGAGTCAATTTCCAGCCTTCTTTTCCGATATTGTACAACATATGCTAATGAATTTCTCTAGACAAGCCCGTCTAAATACGCCGACCAAAAATAGTGTCGTATCGTTGAAAAACCCGTTTCACGTTGCATACGCCTCCAACGTGATAGCAACGTCAGCGCATCCCGTCCCGTCACTAGCAAGGTCCAAAAGAAACTAGCAACGCCCAAGATGATACTAGACTCAACGCCACCATCAATCCACTTTCATAGCAGTCACAAACTCCTTCCAACAGGCGCCAAAATCCTCGTAGAAGTCTTCCGTGAGGCTAGTGGCAAAAACATAGGCACCCTTCCTTCGCAACTCGCGGGTCACCTCTCGGATTAGCTCTTTCGGCACCCCTGAAATCTGGTAGGCTGAGCGGGAGCGGTGGATGAAGTAGTCTTGTAGTCGTTGCTGAGTTTCGTCACCCGCGTACTTCTGATAGGGCTCCTCGCACGTCACGATTATGTCCACCACGGCAGGACTCGCCAAGTCTGCATCGGGGGGTGTTCCAGGATTGTGAACAACCTGGCAGTGGGTCCAGTTAGTGATATCCTCTTTTGTATCGGCATGTCCCGAGGAGTGAGCTGGGCTAAGAGAGGCGAAGTACAATCCGCCGCGACTCTAACCCCAAATAAACTGAAACTCACCAATCGCTGGCCCAAAAGGCCCTCTGTGTTTTTGATATGCTGATGTAGCGCTTCCAGATACAGCCTTCTTCCCGCAGAAAAGTGGTTCGGCGTCTCATCAAGGTAAATTCCTTGCAAGCCGAGCCCAGACACATCGCTTCCAGAACTCGGCATCCATCCTGCGTACCGGTCGATCTCCTCGCAAGCGTCGTGCAGAGGCTTGCGGCAATAGTCGATGCGGACATATCCAATAGTGGTTACATTGGGCGACGCATTCAGTTTTGGGATCTCACGCTCGTAGTCGTGGCCTGGAAGCGGTTCGGCGCCTGGGCCACTGCTAGGATTGATGATTACGAGGAATTCGACAGAAGGATGAGCTAAGATTCTAACATGGGTAAGTGAAACGTTTGGAGGGAGTCGTGAAGTGCCTGGATCGTTTTGAGGTGATGACCTACGTGTCGAAAAGTGGCTGCCAGTCGGCCGAGCTGCATGGCCAAATGTACAAAGGCACGATGACAGTGGCTCTTGATGGCTCCATGCTCATTCTTTGTTGGCCTCTGTACAAATATAGGGGGAACTTCGGCGACGTGCAATATCCACAGCTTTTTGCAGGAGTGCTTTAAGGACAAGTGCAGCTCTCCGTCAATGTTGAGTTGAGCCCCCGCGAGCGCATATACGAATGAGACCAGGCTTGATACGAGCCGTGTTGTAGCCTACTTAGGGAAATCAGACCAATTATAGGCCCGGAACCAAGCTCCGGGACGGCGAAGTGGCACCCAGGCCTTCTGCTAATCTGCTAATCGAGCTATTAGTGTCTGCTGGGCTAGTGCTGGCTTGATCCTGTCGGTGTGCTCGACAGGGATCAATTCCAGGATTTGGTCCGATCAAGATCCCATTTTTCCATTCCGGCAACACGCTCTTACTACATCAGGGAGAATTCGTGTAACCAATAGATTAGATAATGATGGTTCGGCCTTCCGAAGACCCGGGTATCATCAAGCTTATGATGCTTGCTCGGACTTCGTGCCCTTTCGGTAAAGTGGCTTGTTGGCAATACTTCCATGAGAAAATATGCTCGCCATCCAGACAAGGTCGAAACAGGCCAACTTAGACTACCCGAGTAGTTTAGTGGGTTTTTTAGAACAGGCACACATGGTGATGCAAATCCGATCAGAGCTTTCACACTGGTGCGAGATCTCGGGCCCATTCGCCATGTCGCCATGTGAATCGAAGTCGACTGAACATTGGGCGAAATCTGAGCTGTACAAGTGTACCAAAGTCAGTGTTCACGTAGTCAAAGATCGAAAGACGGCGTCGTAGTCACCATATCCTTTACCAACCACTACATTCGTTTCCTCTGGAATTGCTCGTCCATCGTCGTATTCAACCCATGGTCGTATTTGCAAACCCGTTCACCTTCACTAGTCGGCATCACCGTCGCTCACTGCCACACTCATTTGTACCCCAGTCGCTATCAGAACGACTAGTTCGAGACATGCTCTTCTCCGAAGAAAATACCCCAGAATCCTCACCTGGCATATCGAGGGCAACGACTCCTGGAACGGAAAGAGACGTTCTTTTCGATCCACCGTCGCCATTGTCAGATACTGATGGATATGTTCTCGTTACTGGTGGCTTGGGCTTCATCGGTAGCCATACGGTGGTGGAGCTCATGAAAGAGGGCCACAACGTTGTCATCGTCGACGATCTAAGCAACAGCGCCAGTGATGTGTTTGATCGCATCCTCAAGACCGCACATCTGCATTTTGCCAGGACCGGCAAGCGATGCCCCAAAGTTCACTTCCGCAACATGAACTACCGCGATGTACCAGCGATGCGCAACTTGCTAGACTCTGTGAGTCTCCCAGGACTCCAAAACGAAAGACGATCCAGATTCATTGGCGTAATCCACTTTGCGGCCTACAAAGCAGTCGAGGAGTCCATTCGCCAGCCAATGCGCTACTACCACAACAATGTCGTCGGACTACTCGACTTCCTCGCTTTACTCGACGAATACAGCGTACGGACGTTCATCTTTTCGTCGAGCGCCACTGTTTACGGGTCACTCGCTGACGGTTCGAAACTCCTTCGCGAAGAACACTGCGTCCATGAAAACGGACTATACGTAGATGTTGATGGGAACACGAAACTGTCAGAGCCAGGATACGCAGGGATAACAAGTCCATACGGCCGCACAAAGTACTTCGGCGAGGCGATACTTTCAGACATTGCGCGAAGCGACCCTCGATGGAGAATCCTCGCGCTACGATACTTCAACCCAGTAGGATGCGACGTAGAGGGCTTTTTGGGCGAAGACCCGAAAGGCGACCCATCGAACTTGCTGCCTGTTGTGGTGAAGGTGATGACAGGTCAGCTATCTGAGCTTTCAGTCTATGGCGACGATTGGAACACCCCCGATGGCACCGCGGTGCGAGACTTCATACATGTGACGGACCTTGCCAAAGGACATACCGCTGCTTTGAACGCAGCACAAACAAGGCAGATCCCGGCTGGGTTTCGCACATTCAACCTTGGAACTGGCTGTGGCAACTCTGTCACGGAAGTCGTAAAGGCTATGGAGGGGGTATCAAAAGTAATCATACCAAGCAAGATCGTATCGAGGAGGGATGGCGACGTACAATCCTCGGTCGCTGCTGCGGATAGAGCGAAGAACGAGCTTGGTTGGACAACAGAGAAGAATCTACATGACGCATGTCGGGATACGTACAATTATCTGAGACTCCGCACTATAATATAGCCTAATAACGCGAGTCCTAAATTCATTAATAAGGCCTACTTGTAATTGAAGTTAATTCTTAGATGTATATAGTTGTAAGTAGAGAAACATTTTATAAGCCCTGAAAAAGCTCATTATCCAAGTGCGAACTCCTCGATGGTGGAAGAAGTAGTCCACCCTGTGTCGTTTCGGAGGACAATCTCCGTACAGCGTCTCTTGAAACAGCCTGGATAGCTTCGATAGCCTTTAAAAGTCTTGAGGAAGAATCGATAAGTACCTAGATGCTTTCAGGCGAGCCCGAAATCTTTGATTAGCATCTCAGAGTTTCAAATGCATCCTTGTTTCATCTTCGGGCGTGATGGTGTTTTCTTAGTAGCCCATAGCTGCAAATATTTGCTCTCCAATGATGGCCGGTATGATTCAACAAGTTCATCAGCGTCGGAATGCCAATTGGCTACTTGCAGAGATATTTTCGACAAGGTAAGCCAGGATGCGTAGTGAGCGATGACCTAGCGCGTTGTGAGCAGCTCAACCATATTGTACGAGCAAGGCATCAAAGAGTCCCCGCGCCCCTATATCACCCGATGGATGGTTTTCACTTCGCGCTCTTGAACAGGTGATAAACGCGAGCTGTTGCCTGACCTAAGACCCAACATCCATCCTCTACTACTACCCTTGTGCCTATTCCGCTTAAACCCACGATAACCTAGCGTACCACTCCCATTGTCTTAGCAGTCAAGCTTGGATCAATATATGGGGCAGCATGAAAAGTCTTTGTGTCATCGAGCTTGGGGCCTATCTTTCAAGCCTTCATAACCAGATCGTTGAAGGTCTGGTCCGGGTTCTGCTACCAGACTATTATAGAATTTGATGATTTCGAAAGTTGCCACGCTTCCTTCCATCATCTGCTCAGTGCTAACACATGTCAGAAAGCACCGGTGCCTCCCTTCTCTGGTATATTTCTAATTCTTCGCCCTATACTGTGAGCTATTCAAAACAAGAACAAACCCTAGTCAGTCTGCTGAGCCCCGCGCTTGTATGAGCAGAACGTGGATCTTCACTTGGTATGCATGTACCTTTCCGATTTCCTCTGACAGATAGCCTGGCTCATGGGCCTTCATAAGTTCGTAACTATTAGTGTGCACGGCTCTCTCTGAGGCTCATACTTGCCAAGTTAAACTGACACCTCAACATCCGCCCTCAATACAACTCCATATATCCGCGATTTACCGCATACCCTTAACACATAAGCTTAAAGTCGATGCTTCAGCTACACGACCGAACTTCGTATCCCTCATTCTTGCTCTCACGTTATCAGCGCCTGATAAGATGGGGGGGAACTCACCATCTAAGCTGCTTCCAGGTTGCGCTTCCGTCCCAGTTCAGTGGCTCGCCTTAGATACAATTCCTAGGATGGCCATGTGGGTATCGTTAAACACTACAACGGATCCAGAATGAATTACTTCCTGGTACGGGAGTATGGACCAGGCAAGAAGATGCAAATGAATAGAAGCAGGTCGGTCCAGTTGATAGCCAAAGGGTGGAGTGGTCGAAGACCAATAGTGATGGCGGCAAAGAGGCTCAGTGCCGGATCTGAGTCCATTCGAGTATACTTACCTTGTGTTGTGCAAGACCAAGAACGGAAAGCAGATTGTAATTCAAGTGCAGGACTTACGTAGTAGCGCTAACGGTTGCAGTAGCGGTAGCCGTCGCTGTCTCTGTGGCAGTTGTTGTCTGGCTTGCTGTCGATGTAAGAGTCGAGAGTGTCGTTTCAGTCGAGGTAGTAGAGACAGTCTGGGTTTGGCTGAGGGTTGCAGTTGAGGTTATCGCAGCTGGGACTGATGTTGTTGTCACGGTCAAAGTTGAGGTTTCTGAGACAGTTGACGTGATAGTCGCGCTGAGGGTTGAAGTGGAAGTGACTACCGGTGGCACTTCCGTTGTTGTTATGGTCAATGTTGATGTCGCGGATAAAGTAGATGATATGGTGGATGTTTCAGTTGCTGTCGCAGATAAGGTAGATGTGACAGAAGCGGTCGTGGTTACTGCTGGTGGAACCGACGTGGATGTAACTGTAGAGGTCACAGTGGATGTAACTGCTGGAGGGACCGATGTTGTGGTTATGGTTGCAGTGATGGAGTCGGTCGTAGTAACTGCTGGTGCGGCCGCCTGGGTTGAAGTCATAGTTGAGGTGACTGCTGGTGCGGCTGCCTGAGTTGAAGTTATAGTTGAGGTAACTGCCGGTGCGGCCGCCTGGGTTGAAGT